ATCTCCAGGGCCGAACTTGAGCTCCTTGAGGAACTCCATGTTGTCCATGAGGCTAAGCGCGTTGAAGACGTCAAAGTCCTCCTTCTTGGCCATGATCAGCGTGTCGTTCATAAGATCCGTGAGCGGCACGGACGTGGCCACATTGTAGAACGAATACGCAGCGTTGAGCTTGTTGTGCTTGTCGTGGCCAATGACAGTCGACGGCAGGTGGTAGAAGCTCGTAAAGTCCGTGATCTTGTGGGTCTCCGGGTTCTCCACCACGTACGCGTTGATCACGCCTTGACGAGGCAACATCCAGTGAGCCACGTCGTTCTGATCGTACTGCTGGACAAGATCGAACTTAGCCAGGTACGTCTTGAGCAGCGCCGTAACCTGAGCCACATCCTTCTTCTGCATGGATCGGAAACCTGGCACGGACGTGGTCTCTGGCAGCTTGAACATCTTGATAGTACGCGTCATGGTCATCCTGGGCGCCAGTCTGGAGAAACCCACTTCAATGAGTTTCTTGGGGTTCAGCGAGCGGTGGAAGTAGCGGCACTGGGCCACAGGCATGGGCAGCACCACTCCAGCCGTATACACAGCCTGCCAAATGTCTCGGAGGTTGACACGACGCGTGATCTCCTTGATGAGCACAGGTGCGAGTCTCTTGGTGCGCAATTTCTTGTGTACACACAGGAAATTGATCTCGGCCATGGCCATCGTCTCCTTATACACACGCGTCTTGACGGGAATGCCACTGATAAAGGCCATGAGTTTGTTGGTCTTTTGGTTGCGTACACCCACGTGCCAGTCCTTATGGAAGCCCGGAGGGGTGAGAGCCCACATGAGGAAGTCAATGGAGTAGTCAAAGCGGAACATATTGTCATCGTCCTCGACGTAGTTGTGCGTGAGCAGATCGTAGACCTCCTGGGCCTCGTTCTGCTTGGTCAGGTCGATTTCGCTCCACTCGAAGCCTGGTGGCATGTTGTACGGCTCCTGACGCACGTCTTTCACAGTCTTTGGAGGGTCGATAGCCCCGTGTTCGCGCGGGAATTCATCCAAGGCCGGCACAGGTTGAGTCTTCCAGAATTTGAAATCCTTCTGCGCCGCCAAGGCGTTGCGGTCAGGCGCCTGCTGCGCCGTGGCCAAGTTGAGCTGCTTGAGCACCTGCAGAAACTCCTCCTGCTCTTCGACCGTCACCAACTCCAGCTTGTCGTCGGGCTTGCCGCCCGCGGGCGGGGGAGAGCTGCTCATGTTTGACGCGGATCTTTTTGTGAGTGGAGGGAACTCGAATCCGTTTTGGTCGTACTAAAAAACAACATCTTGGGCACAGTATGCTTAGTTTGGCACCATTTCATATTTGGACCTTTTGTTTGGACAGACTAAATTAGTGGACCCCTTCGTTGGGTACACTACCACCATGAATCAGGACGAGGAGCAGCAAGACTTCGTGCGTCTATTGAAGCAGCTGAACCTCGTTCAGTCCGTGCAACAGGCGCAGCAATTGGAGAAGGAGCACCGCTTCTGGGGCACGCAGCCCGTACCGACGCTGCAGGACCAAAATGGTAGAAGTCCAGAGTGTCCTCATGGACCCATCGACGTACAAAAGTCACCGGATCAAGTAAGACAGGAGCCGTACCACATGCCGTCGGGCTTCACCTGGTCTACGCTCGACGTAATGGACCCTTCTCAGGCCAATGAAGTATATGAATTGCTCTCCAAAAACTACGTCGAGGACACGGACAGCACTTTCCGCTTCGACTATTCCGTGGACTTCTTACAGTGGGCTCTCACTCCTCCAGGCTACCACAAAAACTGGCACATTGGTGTACGCAGCACACACAATAACCAGCTCATGGCCTTCATTTCCGGTATCCCTGCCCAAGTCCGCGTCTACCATAAGACTGTGAATATGGCCGAGATCAATTTCCTGTGTGTACACAAGAGACTGCGAGATCGACGGTTAGCGCCTGTGCTGATCAAGGAAGTGACACGAAGAGCGAATCTCCTTGATATCTGGCAGGCCGTGTATACAGCGGGAGTGGTTCTGCCCATGCCTGTGGCACAGTGTCGGTATTTCCACCGCTCTTTGAACCCCAAGAAACTAATCGAAGTGGGGTTTTCACCTTTACCTCCCAGGATGACACTGGCACAGACGATCAAGACGTTAAAGTTGCCTACTCACACGTCAACACCGGGCTTTAGAGCAATGGAGCGGACGGATGTGCCGAAAGTCACGAGGTTGTTGAAGGAATATCTGGCCAAGTTTCACCTCGCAGCGGAGTTTAGTGAAGATGAGGTGGCACATTGGATGGTGCCACGTGTTGGAGTCGTCAACGCTTATGTGGTGGAAAACCCGGATACTCAAAACGTCACAGATATCTGTAGCTTTTACCACCTGCCGTCGACGATCATTGGCAATGACAAACACAAGAAACTCAACGCGGTCTACTCCTTCTACAATGTGGCGACGTCGGTGACACTCACACAGTTGATGCAGGACGCACTAATCATGGCGAAGAAGGAGAAGTCGGATGTGTTCAATGCACTGGACGTCATGGAAAACGTCGAGATACTGCAACTGCTCCAGTTTGGACCTGGTAGTGGCGAGCTGCAGTATTACCTGTACAACTGGCGCTGTCCGCGGATGTCCAGCGATTGTGTGGGCATCGTGCTGTGCTGAGCAATTATCTACTGACAGCCGAGCTACTAACTTAGGTGGAGTAAAAAGAAAAAATATACGACTGGAGGACAGCTGCTCCATTTTCTTTTAAAAAAAAAAATACTCAGAATACACAAACTCATCACCTACTGCTTATCACGTTTCCATCAGAGCGGGACTGGCCTCGTTCTTCCGCAGAACCACTGCAATCCGCTGAAATTCTGATCTTAAAGTGTTCGCATCCAACACCTGTCAATACTCCCCTCCCAATTTCTTTGCCATGCGCTCCAGCACGGACAGATTCACGTGTCCACAACAAACACCTTCAAGTCGTACTTGGCGTAATTCGAGCGAATGTGTTGTGCAAAAGCGATCCCCGTCTCGATGTCGCACGGATGGCCATCCGAGAAGAAAATGAGCACGGCCTAGAACTGCTCGAAGTTGTTGCGCGACAAAACCTCGTTAGCCACACGTAAGCCCTCCCCGAAGCACGTTCCGCCTCCAGAATACGGGATCTTCACCCCCACAATCTCCTTCAAAGGTTCGACCTCGCAGTGAATACGGCCGGCGTTATCAAACGTAACAAACGAGGCTAAATCGTTGTCTCCTTCATCTTTAAGCCTGTTGATTGTCAACTCGTTGCACGCATAGAGCAAGTCTCTCCAAGGTTGCCCATGCATGCAGAGTTATCCAACACAAAAACGCTGTGGAATTTCCCCGAATCGACAGCGTGAACGCACTCGAACTTGTGGCCATCAATGTACGCGAAGCCATCGTCAACCTCCGGCTTCATTTCAGGTTCATGCCAGGCGTCTAGCACACAAAACGAAGCAGAATTGTCGGGCTCATCATGCTCTGGAGCATCGCACTGGATGGACATTTGGAGAAGAGAACTCGCTCTTCTTCAGTGCACGGATCTTTCCAACCGATAGTCGTCCAGAATTGAGAATCATCCATCGCTTCATCAGGAGGTGGGTACAGCCTTACTGGCATCCCCAGTGTACACGCACTTCGTCACATCTTCGCCTTCGCATGGCAAATAGTGGAGGTGCCCACTTTCGCGCAAAACAGGTTGCACATTTCGGCAATCCCTCGCTCGCCCACTTGATACTTCCGATCCTCAATATCGATATCGTTGCCCTTAGCAATGAAATATGTCTGGCACATGTTGCCGTGGGAGGTAGCGTGAAGGCCCATGTGCCCAAAGTGTTTGTTGCAGTAATAGTCACGACAAGGGCGTCGTACATCACAGTAGTGGATCACTTGTTGCTCTTCGTCACGTCTCCGGGCAGTACTGTCATCGCTCAGGTCAAGCACACAAGTAACTCCGTTTTCCTCAGCAAACATGCGAGACTCATTCAACTGACCGTGAAAATGGTCCTTCTCACCGCACGTATTCTTGCAGCCTCTCATAAAACATTGACGCAGACACTGTACTTCGACGCATGTGCACCGAGTGATCTCGCTGGATGTCCAAAACACGAGCCGCATTGATCGTTTCGGCAGAGCAGGTGGAACCGCAAATATGAACCTAAACCGAGCAGCGGTGGTCACCCAAATGTTCTGCCACTTTTGAGCAGGTTTTATCGCAATTGGAAGCTCGAGCGAGTACGCACTGCTGACCGTAGGTGTGCTCTCCCTTTTCGCACTCGCATTTGCCTTCGTGGCCAGCACTCCGAGAACACGGCCGTGCACTGTCTGACTGCGATTCACTCTGCATACTCACAAAACCCACGACACTTGTGATCGGTGCTGCAAACGTGTGTCGAGTGGGTAATTGAATGCATGCAACCGAGCTGACAGCTTATACAACGATGTTAGCAACGAGACAAGAAGAGTACCATAGGGTCCACGAATCGTTGCTCCATCGTTGATCGCACCTCCGACAGTCGGCCATCAAGTGCACCGTGAAGCCAACGCACCGCTTTTAACTTTCGACGGCTCAGAATGAAAGCCAAGAAGCCATCGAAACACTTTTGGTCCTCGGTCGTTAGTCTGGATCTGCCAAATTCCACTTGCGCCAAGAAAGTTTGAAAAGGGCCACCAGAGTTGTGTGAATTTGCTTCGTGCTCCTGGTTTCCAGCGCAGTTACATCAAAGCCGAAATCAATGGCATCGTCGGCAATAGTATCCAGCAGAATAACATTATTGAGCGCCATACACTTGGTCGCAAATCCGGGATAGGCCTGACAAGTTGCAGTCAGTGAGACCACAAGTTTGTCACGAGTACCAACTTGCAGCACGGATTCTTTCAGACCAGACGAGATTGTCGCATCAGCAACCAGAGTTTGCGGTACGTGGCATCCTGTTCGAAGAATCCCAGGAAGCTTTTGCTTTACGTCCGAAATCACCAAGTATTGCGTGCTTTTATCCATGCTCGTCCAGTCCAGCATCGAGATTTTTGCCAGTACAATCCGGAGGCAATCCAGGAAAGCTTTACCCGTCGAAAACCCTGTTGCTGCCTCCCGTACAATGCTAAGCAGCGCCTTCGCTGCGTCATTCTCCATCGACTGGTAATACTCCACTGTTCCAAAAGGTGGGGTACAGTTTATCGTGACCTGTCCAGCGTACATTTCAGTCAGGAAGTTCTGCTCGCGGCTTGATTCAAAAATTGCGTTTAACTTTGCCGCAAGATCATTAACAACACCCAGTCGATCGTTCATATTCACATCTATGACACTCATAAACAAAAGCCCACGAAAGAGACGCGGATCATTCTTGATAAGCTGGACACCTTTCTGGAAACGAGAGAACAAACCGTCAATATCCTTATCAAATCGGCTCTCCATTCGAAAGACTGTGAATAACGACACCGATGCATTCAGCACTGATAAGAAGATATCTTCTTGCTCCGATCGTTCGAACGACCCCAGTCCCTCGAAATCCAGAACTACCAGTAGCACATCAGATACGAATCGTAAAGACAGCCACGCTCCGTCAGTACAGCGTGAACCGGAGATCGCAAACGAAGTTCCTGCGAGGTGGTTCAAGAAGTAGCTCTTTCCTGTTGACTGCTTCCCCATTGACGTTAACCACAACGCATCGTCCATTCCATGACTCTAGTAGTGGGGACAGTAAACCGAAGCGAATCGACTGAGCAATCTCCGACGCATCTGTCCCCGTTGAGTCATTTTCGCTGCTTAAACTCGTTCGAC